AAATTTTTTTTTTTTTTTGTCGGTTATGGGGCTTGAACTCTGGGCTTGGGCACTGTCCCTCAGCTCTTCAGCTCAAGGCGAGCCCTCTACCGCTTGAGCCACAGCTCCACTTCCAGTTTTCGAGTGGTTTTATTGGAGATAAGAGTCTCACGGACTTTCCTGCCCGGGCTGGCTTTGAGCCGCGATTCTCAGATCTCAGCCTCCTGAGTAGCTAGGATTACAGGCGTGAGCCACCGGCACCCGGCAACAGTAGTAAATTTAATAAGTTTTTTTTTTTTTTTTCTTCTAGCACCCAGTAGAGGAATTCCTTGTCTTGTGGTAGTATTGTCGCTGTCCTCCCGCCCCCTTGCCTTATCTGTGAGGGATACATTGAAACGGGTGTTATATGAGGAATGGAAAGGGGCAGTTTAGTGATAGCCACCTGTCTTCCCCTCTGGACCCTCTAGCTTTTTCACCTGTATAGGAGTCTTTAATAAGGTCTGTCTCAAACCTATCTATTGTCTAAAGTCAGGTGTTTTTTTTTTGTCAGTCAGGGGCTTGAACTCTGGGCCTGGGCGCTGTCCCTGAGCTCTTCAGCTCAAGGCTAGTGCTTTACCACTTGAGACACAGCACCACTTCCAGTTTTCTAGTGGTTAATTGGAGATAAGAGTCTCATAGACTTTCCTGCCCAGGCTGGCTTTGAACCGCAGTCCTCAGATCTCAGCCTCTTGAGTAGCTAGGATTACAGGTGTGAGCCACTGGCGCCCTGCTTAGAGTCAGGGTTTTACACAGGGTTTATAGACTGTGAGGATAGAAGTAGTGGTAGTGCTAGTGGTTGTTTCTTTGTTCCTATGGAAGGGATAAAGGGAGAGGCAAAGGGTGGTGGTTTAGTAACTTGGTCATCTTCTGCTGTAGCTTTAAATATTCCTTAAAACATAACAGAATTTTCTGGAGTAGGGGTTGGCAGACTTTGTGTGAAGGGCCAGCATATTAAGGCTTTGAGGGCCATTCAGTAGACAATGTCTGCATGACTGGCCGAGCTATTGTTTCATTAACATACTGTAACACCAGGCAGCAAACTGAAATTGGCCATTGTAGGCCATTGTTTGCAGATCTCTGTTCTAATGTATCAGTAGAATGAAAACTTCTTTTCTTTCTTTGATGACTTCTATCTAAAATGGCACCCAGCTTGGTGTGGCAGTGGCTGACCGTGGCATGCTGGAACATCTTGACTTTCCCTGTGGCGGGAAACTTTTTTCTGCCAAGGGATATTATTGGCTATTTATAATGTCATTTGTGAACCAGATGTTCAATACAGGTAGATGGCCACAGGCAGCCAGTGAGGATCATATGAGAAACATACATGTCTGTCCTGTTATGTATTTCCTGGATCTTATACAGCCTGTAGGCTGGATGTTCCCTGTTTGTGAAGGGGATGTGCTGTCCTTTGAGTGACCAGCCCCCTTGGTTCTGTCATGATTGGTTAATTGCAGAGGGGACAGCCAGTCTTCCTCTTGAGGGCAGGGCATCCAGTCCTTGTGAGGAGGACTGAGTAGCTGATGGCACCATAGTGGAAAGAAGGAACATGCATCATTTCAATGTTTTGTTGGGAAGATTTTCTGCTAATTGAGACTCCTTGCTGGGGACAGTAGGTTATCTGGATAAAGGATTCTTTAATGCTATTGCCTTTCCAGTATTACCTGCAAAAACTTGTAGGGATTAACACACTGTTTTAATATTTGCATTTTTCTTAATTTGAGAGCAGAGAGTAATCCTGTCTAGGCAATGTTAAGAATTGTGGGAAAATGATGTGTGGACCGTAAATCCCTTTATTGCTTTGAGTGTCATTTAAATAAATGAACCTTACAAACACAGCTTTACCCTTTTGTGAGTCATGAATAATTTGGCCACATATTCCCAGATCTGAGCAGTAATTTCTGCGTTCATTATCTGTAATGAAATAATTGTAAATGTCTAAAATGAAATTCAGGAAATTAGTTTTATTCCAGTGAGGAACAGCAGTAATGAACATTAGACTAATGCATAGTTAAAGGACAAAATGTTACTTATTATGGCATGGAAGCCTAACCCAGATATTTTGATTCTATTGAAATAATGTCTCTCATTCACTGTGTTCTCAAATGAATAGTAATTAGATTGGGTTTCATGGGTTACTTTTGTGTGGATAAAGCTTTGAGACATTTTTTGACATTTTGACATTTGTTCTCAACCTATATTTCTATAGCCACCTCAATCTTTAATGTGTATAAATAGAACTATTCTCATCTTGGTTTATGGTTTGTAGTGATTTTGCCTCTTACTTGTTAAACCGTCCTTAAGGATGACTGAAGTAAATTTTCCTCTTACAGTTGATGTGGTAATAACTTAATGCATTAATATTTTGGAGATGAAAGATATTTAAGGTAGTGTGTCCTGTTTGTTTTGAATTTTTTGACCAGTTCGGATAAAATTTGTATAAAATATAAATTGATTCGTGTTAGCTTTCCCCAAAATACATTTCATTTCAGAAGGAATGATGGTTTTCATTTACAAGTGATGGTTGAGTCTAGTCTTGTAGGTACTAAAGTGAACGAGGCAGCACAATGTAGAGAAAAAAGTAGTTTATTATCCAGTAGATTATTTTGTCTTATCTGACTTTCCTTTCTTTTAAAAATATTTTTTCCAGATAAATGTGAATGAAATTACAAGATTTTCAGATTTCCCCTTGTCTAAAAAGACATTGAAAGGTAAGTAGATGGTCATCTTAAGATATGTTATTGGATTTATTGAGACTTTACTTAGTTTTTTTTTTTAAAGAAGATGGCTTGGACAAGACAAAGGTTAACTTGAAAAATTATGCTTTGATAAATAATTTTAATGTTTTGGAAATCTGTAAAATAGTATTTAAAACTATTACCCTCTTTCTGGATCTGTCAAAGAATAGTTAGAAAGGTACCAGTAACTGGGTGCTGGTGTCTCATAATCCTAACTACTCAGGAAGCTGAGCTCAGAGGATCAAGGTTGGAATTTAAAAATGGAAGCTCAAGTTCAGCCTGGGCAGACAAATAGAAGACTCTTATTTCCAATTAATCAACAAAAAACTGGAAGTTGCCACTTGCTGGTGGCTCACAACTGTATTCATAGCTACTGAGGATAGGAAAGCCTGTGAGACTCTTATCTCCAATTAATCATAGAAAAAGCTGGAAGTGGTGCTGTTCCTCAAGTGGTAGAGTGCTATCCTTGAGCAAAAGGAACTCAGAGACAGTGGCCAGGCCCAGAGTTCAAGCCTCAGGACTGGCAAAAAAAAAACCTCCCCAAATAAAATCCTGGAAGTGGAGGAGCTCAAGTGGTAGAGTTAGGTCTTCAGTTCACACATACACACCCACGCCAAGAGCCTCTGAAGAATTAAGATGAAGTTAACTGTGCTTATTAAAATAATCACAAGAACATGCTGGGCACTGGTGGCTTACACCTGTAATCCTTGCTACTCAGGAGGCTGAGATCTCAGGATTGCAGTTTGAGGCCAGCCCTGTCAGGAAAGTCTGTAACACTCTTATCTCCAATTAACCATCAACAAGTTGGAAGTAGAGATATGGCTGAAGTGGTAGAGTGCTAGCCTTGAACATAAAAGCTCAGGAACAGTGCCTAAGCCCTATGTTAAAGCCCCAGGACTGGCACCAAAAAAAAAGGAAAACAAAAATGTGTCACTTTTTGTATTACTTTGTTTGCACTACCAAAAGCAAACACCAGACTGGATGGCTTAACCAGTAGAAATTTTGCTGCAGCGTGGAAGCTAGGTAATTTAAAATCAAGGTGCTGGCAAGCTGGTTTGCTCTTAGGACGTGGGAGATCCGTTCCAAGTCTCTTCCTTGCCTTGCAGGTGGCCTCCGTCTTGCTACTGTTTTTCTTTCTTTCTTTTTTTTATTTGCTTTTTTGCATTTTTAAGTTGTGGTTAAGTTGTTATACAAAGGGGTTACAATTCCATGAGGCAGGTTATCAGTACAATGCTTCTTGTCAGTGTCAAGCCATCCTTTGTTCTCTCCCCATTTTCACTCTTAATTCCTACCTTCAAGTTACCTTGTTCATTGTTTTACATAATGTACACTGAATATAATGACTACATTCGCTCACCCTTCCTCCTGCTGTTTTTTTGACAAGTAAAAATTGTGCATATTTACTATGTACAACATGTTTTGAAATATGTATGTATTTGGGAATGGCTATCATCAAGCTAATTAATATACATATTGCCTCATAAACTTATTTTTTCTTCATGATAAGGACACTTACAATCTTGGCATTGGTATCTCATGCTCGTCATTTTAGCTACTTATGAGGCCAAGATCAGAGGATTGAGGTTTGAAGCTAGCCCATGAAACTTTTTCAATTAACCAGCAAAAAATGGGGCTGGAGGTGTGGTTCATGTGGTAGAGCACTAAGCGTGAGCAGACAATCTAAATGAGGGTCCTAAGTTCAAGCTCTGTATCAGTATCAAAATATTTGTCTAGGGGTTGGGAAGGTGGCTCAGTGGTAGAGCGCTTGCCTTGCATGCCTGAGGCCCTGGGTTCGATTCCCCAGCACCACATAAAAAGAAAAAAAAGCCAGAAGTGGGGCTATGGCTCAAGTGGTAGAGCGCTCGCCTTGAGCTGAAGAGCTGAGGGACAGCGCCCAGGCCCAGAGTTCAGGCTCCACGACCGGACCCCCCCCCCCCAAAAAAAAAAGAGATACTGTTATAGTTCCATCTGTAATGTATGTGGTCTTGAGTTTCCACTTTTTGGTTAAAATTCATTATTTTCTTTTCTAAAATTTATAAACATCATAGCAGGTACAATGTATATTTCATTGACATTTTGATTTATATTTTCCTAATAAAGTCATGTTTTCTGACCTTAAAAAAATATTTGTCTACTGTCACCAATTTTTCAATCATACAATGTATTGCAGCTAGCTGTAGTCATTGTGGTATATAATAGGTCTCTGGAACTTGCTCCATCTGTTTAATTGGAACTTTGTGTCCTTGGAGCACAATCTTGACAAACCCATTCTCTGTGCTTTTGTGACTCCACTTAAAAACAAAGTCATATTTGCCTTTCTGTGTCTGGCTATTTCACTTAAGATAAAATTCCCTCCAGGGGGCTGAGAATGTGGCTTAGTGGTAGAGTGCTTCCCCAGCATGCATGAAGCCCTGGGTTTGATTCCTTAGTACCACATAAACAGAAAAAACTGGAAGTAGTGCTGTGGCTCAAGTGTAGAGTGCTAGTCTTGAGCAAAAGAAACCCAGGGACAGTGCCCAAGCCCAGAGTTCATGCCCCAGTACTGGCAAAAAAACATAAAAAATTTCCTCCAGACTCATCCACATTGTCACTAGTCATTCACATTGTCACCAGTGCTGGGTCTTGGCAATCTAAGCCCTGGGCCAAAGCCTCTGCCTTGAACACTTAGAACAACAAGCTTCCACATTTGAAAACTTGGGAATTATAAGTTTTTAGTTCTCAGGGCTTAGAGCTATAAAATTCTGACTTTAAAAGCTAAGCCTGGGAACCTATGGAAATGAAGGTCATCACTATAATGTAGCCATTCCTTGTTTATCTGTAATTTCTATTCAGATAGAGCAAAAGAATCCTCAGTCAGCCATTAGTGACAGGGGAACGGATATACAGGTCAGCCTGTAGTACCAACAGACAGAAATTTTCTGAAGCATCTTTCTTCCCTCCGCATTGCCAGGTTTGCAGGAAGCCCAGTACCGCTTGGTAACAGAGATACAGAAGCAGACGATTGGGTTGGCTTTGCAAGGCAAAGATGTGCTTGGAGCTGCCAAAACTGGATCTGGCAAGACTTTGGCTTTCCTTGTTCCAGTAAGTATAGTTAAATAGAGTCAGGTCTTCTATTGTACAGTTTCATAACACTCTGTGCCTTGCAAGAAACGAATAATTATGTAAACATTTGTTTTAATGTTGGGTTTCCCTGGTTAGAATGTAAGGTTTTGCCAGACAGAAGCTACTTCTGTCTTGTCCCTCTCCCCCTCATTCCCTGGATCCTAGCACAGTGCCTTGCACATGGCAGGCACTCAGCAAGTTCTCGTGAATCAGCCATTGTGCCTTGACTGATTACTACCTTCCTGACGGACGCAGAGTGTGGCTGTTCAGAACTATTCTTTGCAATAGGACTTGGGGGCAAAGTTGTCTACCCCTCAGCCTTGCAAGGCTACCATTGGCATTTTATACTTTGCAGCCATTTTAGATACAGCTGAAATATGTGTTCTAAAAGAAAATTTAGGCATTTGTTGAAGATTTTGTGGAACCTTGGTAGCTATGCTTTATATCAGTTGAATAGTAGAACTGCTTATATATCTACTTGCATTTCAATCACACAGTTGGGCTTCTAATTTGATTTCTACAAAGTCATCAGCACAATCACAATTTTTGTTTCAAGGACTAAAAACCAATTTTCTCTTAAATGCTAGTTTTGTATTTTTAAGCAGTATCTGCAATTAGAGAATTCAGTCACTATCAATATAGTGGCTATATGGATGATGCTAAACATATTGTAATCTTGTTTCTGTTATGAAAAATAGTTTTATTCTGTGGGTTACACCCATCTTTCTCTGATAGCTGTTCTTCTGGGCAGGGGACTGGCATCAGATGAAATACCCTGGAACTTCTTTTCCCTTCTCCCTGAGTTGGGAATGAATACTGTTGGTAGGTGGAAGAAAAAGTTTCTTTCACATTGGGTAGAACTTGAGTTTTATGCCTTCTGCTTGATAGTGTCTTTGGTTTGGAGGGGCAAGGTAGAAACTCAGGTCAAAAAGCTGACTTTGCTTGAGGAATTGTCTTCATGGTGTTGGTTTTGTCTTTAAGGTGTTGGAAGCCCTATACCGTCTACAGTGGACATCAACAGATGGGCTGGGTGTTCTGATAATATCACCTACCAGAGAGCTGGCCTATCAGACTTTTGAGGTTCTCCGAAAAGTAGGGAAGAATCATGACTTTTCAGCTGCTCTCATCATTGGTGGGAAGGTTTGTCCTTTTGTCCTGTCCGACCTCCTTTCCTCAGCAGTCTATATTGAAGCACTGTGGTAGTTGCCAGGGAGGAGTTGAAGGCTTCATCTGTGTGGACTGGCCTCCTGGATGGGGCCTCTTGGGTTGGTGACACCTTGGTGCAGTGACTGTCATCTAAGTGTGCTTGTCATTTTTAGAAGATGCCAGAAAATCCATTTGAGTCAGGGTATCTTAATTGATGAGGCCATGGGACAGGCCAACCAGAATAAAACCACTTGTTCATAAGCTTAGGGAGAGGTAACATTCCAGTATATGGACCAAGTCTCTTTCAAAGTCTTAGAGACTGATTAATTCAGATTTGCTATGTCAGCAGCAGAAGAAATAAAGGTGAATCATTTTGAGGAAAAACCTGTTGCTCAAATTTTGTTCTCCCTTATAGTAAACCTATAGTGCTTGAATTTTCTAGGATCATCTTTAGACTGTAGGACTACATACCTGAATTCTTGAATATCTATGTAATCATACAAAAAAGGAGAAATTCTTGAATATCTATGCTGTCATACAAAAAAGAAGAAAATACCATCACAAACTATCATGTGCTTTTTTTCCTGTCACCCAACTTTAACATTTAATAACAGTCTGTGTTTCTTCTCTTAAGGAGAGAAACCTTTGATATGTTAGTACTCAGTTCCAGTCCACAAAGTGTGAGGACTGGTGTGGGAGAGTCAGTTCAGTGCCCCTGAGTCTTGGCTTCAAGAATGGAAGTAGTTCAGTTTTTAAGACAGTTCTAGCGAACTTAATAGGAAATCAAGCATTGAAAACTTATTTAATAGTTTCTTTTGCCTTGAAAATTTGGGGTATGTTTAAGTCCCTAGAAGATGTTAGACCTTTGCTGACTTTATTTAGTCCAAAGATATGGGCAAGCTAAAGAAATAGAAGGGAGAATATATTCATTTCTAAGAGTGTCTAAACAGCTAGGATAACATGCCATTTGCAGATGGCTTGTATAGTTTTGGTACAGCTTCTTTTGAGACATATATATGTAATCCAAAGAAACCCTGTTTTCAGGATCTGAAACATGAAGCTGAAAGGATCAACAACATAAATATACTTGTTTGCACACCAGGTCGGCTTCTTCAACACATGGATGAAACAATATGTTTTCATGCTACCAATCTTCAAATGCTGGGTGAGTTTAATGATTTCTTTTTTTTTTTGCCAGTCATGGGGCCTGAACTCTGGGCCTGGGTGCTATCCCTCAGCTCTTCCGCTCAAGGCTAGCGCTCTACCGCTGGAGCCAAGCACCACTTCCAGCTTTTTCTGCTTATGTGGTGCTGAGGAATCGAATCCAGGGCCTCATGCATGCAAGGCAAGCACTCTACCACTGAGCCACCTTCCCAGCCCTAATGATTTCTTTTTCTTAAGAGAGAGCCTTAGTTTTACTTAAGAGAGAGCCTTGGCTGGACACTAATGGCTCATGCCTTTAATCCTTGCTACTCAGGAGGGTGAGATCGAGGATCAAGGTTTGAAACCACCTTCAGTTTGAAACCACAGCCTCTGAAGAATTAAGATGAAGCAAACTGTGCCTGTAATCCTTGCTACTCAGGAGGATGAGATCTTAGGATCGTGGTTTGAGGCCAGCCTTGTCAGGAATATCCATGAAACTGTTCTCCAAAGTAACCACCAGAAAACTCGAATAGCCTGGAGCACAAAAGCTCAGGGACAGTGCCCAGGCCCTGAGTTCAAGCCCCAGGACTGATGGGGATGAGGGGGAGGAGGGAGGCAGAGAGAGAGAAAGAGCGCCTTTATAAGGTTAATAGTGGAAATGATGTAATGTTGTATTGGTTAAGTACTAAGAAGAAAATGATCTGAGAAATATTTTTTCTGACATTTGGGCTCTAAACCTAGACAATACATGGTAGGCTATTTTAAAAAGAAACTTAAAACAAGTGGAATGAAGAATATATATACTTTTACATGTGAAATTAAGCATTTTGGTATTAGGCATTGACAAGATTTTTTTTTTTTTTCTTTTAAGTAACACCCATTTCTAGTGACTTGAAAGATCAAATTGTCCTTTTTTTTGTTAAAACATTATTTTGCAGGATGATAGTATCTACTATGTATTTTAATAAACTATTTTATTTAATTTATTTTTAAATGTACTGTTACTGGTTCTTGAACTCAGGGCCTGGGTGCTATCCTTAAGTTTTTGTGCTCAAGGCTAGTACTCTACCACTCAAGCCACAACTTTCACTTCTGTTTTTTTTGTCCCCCATCCCCCCCAGTTTAATTGGAGCTAAGAATCTCATAGACTTTCCTGCCTAGGCTGGCTTTGAGCCATGATTCTCAGATCTCTGTCTCCTGAGTAGCTAGGATTATAGGCATGAGCTATCAGTGCCTGGCTAAACTTTTATTTTTGAATGCTTTGGGACTTTGAGAAAAATTGCAGTGATCACCTGGGTTCTGGTATACCTTTCATTTTTCTCTAATCTCTTATGTAACTATTGTACCTTTGTTAAAGATTAGATTAACATTGCTATGTTAAGTAAATTAAACTCCATACTGATGTTCAGATTTCATCAGTTTTCTCACTAATGTTCTCTTTTTTTTGCAGTTCTGAGGATGGAACTTGCACTGAACTATTATATCCTCAGCCCAGTCAATGCCCCTTTTCTGCTGTACAATCCAATTTTGGGTATTACATTGCATTTAGCTTATTATATATTGAAAATATTATAGTCCATCTTGTATTTTCCTTTTTTAGTTCTTGATGAAGCAGATAGAATCTTGGATATGGGCTTTGCTGATACTATGAATGCTATTATTGAAAATCTTCCTAAGAAACGTCAGACTTTACTTTTCTCAGCCACACAAACCAAATCTGTAAAGGACCTTGCACGCTTGAGTTTGAAAAACCCTGAGTATGTGTGGGTTCATGAAAAAGCAAAATACAGGTATGGACTCTCAACAAAAACAATCAGTGTTCTTTTAGTTTTGCATTTGCTATTCTACATTTATATTTTCTAGGAAATAAAATGCATTGTATTCGATGTGCAAAGTATACTATGTATAGCAATTAAAATAACTCAAATTCTGCGTATAGCTTTGAATGTTAGAATACTCTAGTATTTTTTTATGCCTCCACTTCCATCATTCTCCCTCAGAAAGCTCATTGCTTATTTTTAGTGCTGAATAATATTCCATTGTTACACTAGCAAACTGGCTCAAGAGGTAGAGGGCCTGCTTAGCAAGCATGAGGCTCTGAGTTCAAACCCCCGTACTAACTGCCCACCCTACCCACCTCCAAAGCTAGCTGAATAATAATCTATTGTTTGAAATAGCATTTTATCCATTGACTTACTCCAGAATGTCTTTATTGTTTCCAAGTGTGGCAGTTAGAAATAAAGCTGCTATAAACATCCATGTGCAGGTTTTTGGTGTGGATATGTTTCAGTTTCTTACGGTAAATACCAAGAAGTATAGAGCAAAGGGGATGTGATGTGTGTGATGTGATTGTTTTTCCTTTTTTTTTTTTTTTTGGG